TCGGTGTTGTCTGCTCGACGAAATGGACCCACAAACCCCACCAGCTTTGGACAATGCGAAGATCGCGCAAACAATCCTTGAAAGAATCCAAGTGAAGCATATCCCATCTAAGGCTCGTCTCCTCCATTTTGTCCGCTCAATTTGAAATTTGTCCGTGTTCCGCCTGTGTCCGCTCATTTTCCTGGACAAAGTCGGCCGAACACGGCTTCCCCGCTCAACATCTGAAACGAGCAAACAACCGCTCAGCCCAAAAGTTGCCAAATTGAGAGTCCAGGTATGTTCAATTGAATAAAAGTGCCCAGATTTATACTATTAATACGTAGGAATCCCCAAGTCAAGGAGCTTCATGGGTGCTTGTAACTTGCCCAGGCAAAAACAAGGACACACCGCTCTCGCTCTCTCTCCCGCCTGAAGCTCTATTGGCGCAGAGCGGGCTCTTGAGGCACAAGAACCACGCTCAAAGGTGGAGCAAAGGCTAACACCTATGCCAGCAGTTTTCGTGACCCAAAGATGATATGTTGAATTCACAGTTGTTGTCAAGTCTCAAGATCTTTCAAGCTCATGGAACCCATGTCGGCTGGCCCAAAATCCTGTCCGGTTCGTCGGCGTCCAGCTCCATGGGTCCATTTTTGTCGAAAATGTGCTGACGAAAACACTAAATCTGAAAAGCATGACCTGCTGGCCAGGCCTGTCTGACATGTCTGAGACTAGGCTCAGGCCCAGCCCAACCAGCAACCCGCCTGCTGGCCAGGCCTGTCAGCCCAGCCCACCCAGCCTCAGGCCCAAGCTTGTCTGAGCCCAACCAGCAACCCGCCCAAGCACGGCCCCAAGCCCAGGCCCACTAGGCCGGCCCCCAGCTCCCAGCCCACCAAACTCAGCCAGCTACTAAGCTTGTCTGACGTGCCCCAGCCCTTCAGTCCGGCTAAGCAGTCCTGCTCGCAGCAGGCCCAGCCCCTTCGGTCTCACCGTAGTCCGGCTGCCCGCAGCCACCCACCCTGCCCAGCCCAAGCCCCGGCGCATCTCAGGCATGCCAGCCACTAGGGCGGCCCCCCTGGCTCACCAGCGTGCCAAGGTCAGGCCTCAGGCCTCAAGCTATGCCAGCTACTGAGCCTGTCTCACATGCCCCAGCACCTCAGTCCGGCTGCCCAAGCAGCTCAGCCCAGACTGGTCAGGCCTTGACCTCCTGCTCGCGTCTGGCCCTAAGTCATCCAGCAGCCCCAGCCCCTTCGGCGCAGTCTGAGACTGGTCTCAAACCATGCCAGCCTGAGACTAGCCTCAGGCCCAGTCCCTCAGCCCGCCTGCTGGCGTGTCTTACGTGTCTGCGACTGGCCTCAGGCCCAGCCCAGCCAGCAACTCGCCACCCATCCTCAGGCCCAAGTGTGTATGAAACAGGCCTTGCCCATCCAGCAACCCGCCCAAGCACAGCTCAGCCCAGCCCGCCCAGCCCAAGTTCCAGGCGCAACCAGCAGCGTAGTCCGGCTGCCCGGCAGCCAGCAACCCACCCATGGCTTCGCAGCCTCGTGGCTGAGACTAGCTTCAGGCCCAGCCCAACCAGCAACCCACCTCAGCCCAGCCTGCCCAGCCGAGGCCCCGGCGCATCTCATCAGCCACTAGGCCAGGCCCACCAGCAGGCTCAGCCCAGCGTGCCAAGGTCAGGTTTGTCTAACGTGTCTGAGACTGGCCTCAGGCCAACGACCAGTCTCACGTGTCTGAGACTGGTCTCAAGCTACGCCAGCTACCAAGCCTGTCTGACGTGCCCCAGCCCCCCAGTCCGGCTGCCCAAGCAGCTCAGCCCAGGCTGACCAGGCCTTGACCTCCTGCTCGTGTCTGGCCCCAAGTCATCCAGCAGGCCCAGCCCCTTCGGCGTCTCAAGGTATGCCAGCCTGAGACTAGCCTCAGGCCCAGTCCCTCAGCCCGCCTGCTGGCGTGTCTATTGGGGATATTTTTCCGGGGTACTTAAGCAAATGGAGGTTTGTATTCCCACCATGTACCTGTCTTGGGCTGAGCAACCGAGCAAGAAATGTATGTCATGGCAAGCCGCCAGCCACGTGAAATGGAGGTGCCCAAACACCCAAAGTTGGTCTTGGTTGTTCAGTGACACCAATTATTGTTCCCCTTTTTATGGAGGCCAAGCCCCACTAAAAATGCTCATCCCCAGAAAGAGGTCCTTTTTTTTCCAAGGGCACTGAGCAGCTGAGATAGTCTTGGTTTTGGATTTCAAACCTTCCGAGCAGGACGGCTTCCGAACATCGAACTAGCACGGGCGAACTGGTGCGGTCACAAGCTTTCAGTAGGATTCGGACCTTCCCAACACTGGATTTCGGTGTTCCTGACCCTTCCCTCAAACTAGGCTGGGCCGAGGCGGGCAACGCGAAGCGTTTACAATTATTCGAGATCAAGCCAGGTGACGTTGGCAAATTGAGAGCCTGAAAGGCATGATGTAGGTCCCATGACCAACAGGAGTACTGCAACAGATGATGCATCGTAGAATCAAACCGACACGTCCGCTGGAGGGGGTGCACGGCCAACGGAAATCTGAGAGCTTTGCTTCTTGAAGAGAAACATATTGATGCAACTGGCTTCAGTGCTGCAGCCCATGGTTCATAGCTTTCTGGGCAGCAAAGCAGATGTCCTCGCTCCCTTCAGTTCGATGGGAATTGTTTGATGTTGTCTGTTGGTCTTAGCTTACGAAGCCTGGAACACGTATCAGCCCCAACCATGAGCAAGCTGTTTGATCTAAAGCCACATACCTGGCCAGCTATGACTTCACATCGAGGTGCTGTGCCAGGACATCCCCGGCCATGCCAAACCTCCTGCCTGTCCGCCCGCCCAATTTCACGCACTTTGCTCTGGTTTTCCCCCACGGTTTGCCTCTTTTTGAGGTGGTGCAGGGTGAGAAGTGGACGCAGCACACGGGTTGTTGCAACGTGCATCAATGGGCATTGAAGCAAGCTTTGTACTGGGTGTAGATTCACTATATACCATTCTACACATATAAATAGGTATGTAACTATGTATATATATATATATATATAATGCACTATGTCTATGTGCGTGTGTGTGACCCTCCAAATGTGCTTGGTTTAATTTGGGCTGTAGTTTTGCCAGATGCGCGCGTGGCATGGAGCGAGCAGAATCGAATTAATGTTACGCAACATAAGGCCCCCCAACCACAAATAGCCAGTCACCCTAATTTCTAGGTGGGTCACAATACTTCACCAACCTAAAGATTCATGGCTGTTTACATCCGAAAAATCTGCCTCAATCCATGCTTCCGCCAAATGAATCTGTTGCAAGCCCGCGCTACGGAGAGCCCCTCAGAAGCCCAGTTGATCTCCATGCAAGCAAAATGAATAGGCACGTTTGGTCTGCTGATCTGAAAGAGAAAAGTGTTCAACAAAAAGACAATTAGTGGAATCGACTGGGCAACTGGTAGCGTTTGGCCTATTGTACCATAATGGCCGAAAGCGGGACATTCAGGTCCTGAGCGGATTTTGCACGAAGCTGGAAGGACTTGTTGCCTGCACCCAGAAACCCCTTAAACAAGCCTACAAAGCGAAAGTGCTGTTTGGCTTGTTGGGGCACGACTTCCAATTAGTTAACGATTATGGGCTGGACATTAATTGGAGCACAACTTTCATTTCTCACAGCACAGTTGAGGATTGTGGTTGGAAGAGGATGCAAGCAACATACACCCACAGCCAGGCCTCAACATGTTCGCTCTAAGGTACCGACTTTTTGCCCATGCACAGTGAAGTGGTGCGTAAGGCTTGTGGGCTGCAGCACTCTCGTCGGATATACCGCTTTAGCCCAATTCATCTCTTCATTTCTGGGAACCTGAAAGACAGTGCTGCGCGGAATGTTGAAAACTTTCAATGTTGGCACTGAAGGTCCTGTTTTTGCACAGCCCCATGAAACTGCTTCAGTTACTACCAGAGCGACAAGCTAGTTGACACCACAATATTCTGACCTTTGGGCCGCCCCGTCAAACTTTAAAAGTAGTTGCCTATGCATCAAACAAGCATCCTGTCAAGAACCTTCTTCAAGGTGCTTCTAGTCTTCATTCAAATGATAATCGATGTCTAGTTCGTGACTTCAAGTCAACCCAAATGGTGTCTTGATCCAGATCTGACACAGCAGACGATGTGTTCACCATGCACCGAATCAACATCTGCAAATTACACTTGGGATAATTGTCTCAACATCTGGGGACCCTCAAAAACACCGAGCAATGTGCTTGCTCAAAACACAACACACCCATGAGGTAGTTCAGCCTCATGGGTTTTGAAAATGGGACTCGGCTGTCCTTTTCGTTTCCTCTCAAAACCAACCACTAAAAGAAGGGCAGATTCGCATATTCCTGCCCGGTTTCCCTATTCATCCAAACGTCCAACTGGTCGTTCCATGACATGGCACGTTTTTCCAGGTAAAGGAGCCGTCATGGCTATCTTCGGACTACCCGCGACGGGGCTTGCCAGAACATGCTGCAAGATTGCATCGCGTCCTATCGCTGTTTTTCCGAAAACCAAACTGCGCAACTTGCCCGATGCCCCATTGGGCACTTGTCTCAGTGCCGAGGCACGTCCATGTCTTTGCAGGTGTGCCATAGGCAGACAGCAAAGGGCCTGCGCGATCCGAACTTCTGGCAGGAAGCAACACACGTGGGTCACGGGAAGTGTTGAAAAAGGGAATTCCAAGAAGTAGTGTCAAGCGTTCCTTAGAACACAAGTCAATAGGCAGCTTGCAAGGGACCTTCACCATCACTTCGTTCAGCAACATCACCACGACACATTCTGACACAGTTCCAAGCTCCATGTGTTTCTCCCAGGACTCCGTGTCAGAGCTGGTGTCGTCATCAGAATGAACCATGGAGATGCCGCTCACCGCAACGATGGGGCATTTTTTGTTTTGAGGGGCTCCCGGTTGGGATTGGTTTCAAAAGAAACCACAGGGATGCCATTTTTTTTCGGGGCATTCCCAAAAACGGGGCGCTCCGTAGC